CTTTTTCTTATGAAGTATACATGTGAGACAGGTGGTGTAGAGGACACATTCTTGATGGCAAAGCAGATCAAACCATATGGTATCACTGTTGTTGTAATTTTCCTATCTTTTTTCTTCTTTTTTTGAAGGGTACGTGGGATAGTATATACAATAAAATAATACTTAAGATACTATATGCTAGAAGTGCTAACTTAAGATACTACATGCTAGAAGTGCTAACTTAAGATACTACATGCTAGAAGTGCAATGCCATAGTACCTAATAGACTCATAAAAGATACAGAAAGAATACCAGAGTGATCATCTTTCACTTGTTGAAGCTACTTTCCACCCATTCCTCTGCTATTACTTGCTTATTGGATGAGTGTCTCTTATGTGTTTTGAGCCAAATGACTAAAAGTATACTGATTTACTGTACACACAGACAGGCATGCACAGGTATAATAGCCAAATTATAATTAAATAGAAAGTAGGAATAGTCCTAACCATCTTTAGTGTTTTGCATTGTCCCACAAAAATTAAAACAAATGATGGCACATACACGGTATCGTAACTATAATCTACAAGCAGAGAAGTCCAAAAAAGAAATGTCATAGATGAAACAAAAGCTTGGACACAAAGATGTCCCCACAGTTGCCAAGAGCTTTTCTCAGCACCCAAATGAGGGTTCTAGCAGAAGATTATAAAAGCACACAAATGTACCACCACAACCCACTAAAAACAGAAACTTTAACAAAATAATAGCAAGGATTTAGCTAACATTCACAGAGCCAGCACAATCTCAATTAAAAAAACTAGCAAAAAAGCAACAGATTGAACCTTAGTGATTCAGAAAAGGAAAATGAAAACGAGAACTGACCATCTTGGAACTGAAACTGAGAACCCTAAACTGGTCCAAGGAGAAGGGCAGAGAGACAGTTCAAGAGAGAAGCTAAAAGTTGATCCCTTTCTCTCTTTAAAACTCTCCCTTCAGAACTAGAGACGATATTGAAGGGATAATTTGAGCCTTTCAGGTGGGTTTTGAAGAACACGGTCTGAGCAGATTGTTTTTGAGGATTTTTTTTTTTTTT